TAATAATAGAATAGTGTATGATGGGGGCCCAAGGCAACATATATAGTATTTGTATGACGGGAGCCTAAGGCCACCTATATAGAATTGTAATAATAGTGTATGATGGGGGCCCAGGGCCACATATAATTATGGTATTTGTATGACGGGGGCCTAAGGCCACCTATATAGAATTGTAATAATAGTGTATGATGGGGGCCCAAGGCCCCATATATGGTATTTGCATGACGGGGGCCTAAGGCCACTTATATAGTATTGTAAAAATAGAATAATTTATGGGGGCCCAAGGTCACATATATATAGTATTGTATATGCCGGGGGCCTAAGGCCACCTATATAAAATTGTAATAATAGTGTATGCTGGGGGCCCAAGGCCACATATATAGTATTTGTATGAGGGGGGCATAAGGCCACCTATATAGAATTGTAATATTAGAATAGTGTATGATGGGGGCCTAAGGCCACATATATAGTATTTGTATGGCGGGGGCCTAAGGCCACCTATATAGTATTGTAATAATAGAATAGTGTATGATGGGAGCCCAAGGCAACATATATAGTATTTGTATGGCGGGGGCCTAAGGCCACCTATATAGTATTGTAATAATAGAATAGTGTATGATGGGGGCCCAAGGCCACATATATAGTATCAGAATAGTATTGTATATGACGGTGGCCTAATGCCATTTATATAGTATTGTAATATAGTGTATGCTGGCGGCCCACCAAGGCCACATATATAGTATTGTGTATGAAGGGGGCATAATGCCTCCTATATAGTAGTGTGTGGTAAGCCTTGGTTGTAAGCTATACCTCCTCCAGCAAAGAAAAGTAGGCTGCATCACTTGCACAGTGTATTATTGCGCCAGCGGGGCCCTAGGCCCCCGGTGGCTTAAGGCCACACTTAGATGTATCTGTCATCTGCATATGCAGCGGGGACCTTACATGCAAGGTCTTCCTCCTATTTCTTAAATGATGCCTACTGATGGAATGTTATTATATAAATCTATGCTAGGATAACTCCTCTTCATTTTAAATGCATAATCTTTGCAAAATACGATTGCTATCGGGAGATATTGCGCATACGCGCGCACCGTGTTAGGCGTGCAGTGCCGTCTGATGAAAACTTCATAATATAGCTTGCTGCGGTTGAGAGGTGATGGGAGACGGAGGAAATGCGACAGGGAAGATAGCTGGGGGTGATAGAAGAAGAAGGAGGCTGAACGAGGGACAGGGGAGGCAAGCGGAAGGAGGCGAGGGCATAAAGAAGGTGTTTTGTACCCTACATGCTAGGGCGCTATCCTAATTATAAACGCATGTCAAGTGATAAAAGTTTAATAGGGAAATCTATGCTGAGATAGCCCCTAACCATTTTAAATGCATATTCATCACAAAATATAACTCCTCTGGTAAGATATTGCGCATGCGCTAACAAACTAACGTAGCCAGTTTGTGTACTGGCGGGTATACGCAGCTGGGACCTTACATGCAGGGTCTTCTTGCTATTTCTTAAATGATGTCTACTGATGGAAGGTTATCATATAAATCTATGGTAGGATAACTCCTCATCATTTTAAATGCATAAGCTTTGCAAAATACGATTTTGCTCGGGAGATATTGCGCATGCGCGCGCACCGTGTTAGGCATGCAGTGCTGTCTGAGGAAAACTTTATAATATAGCTTGCTGCGGTGGAGAGGGGATGGGAGACTGAGGAAAGGCGGCAGAAAAGATATCTGGGGGCGGTAGAAGAACAAGGAGGCTGATCGAGAGACAGGGAAGGCAAGTGGAAGGACGCCAGGGCATAAAGCAGGTGTTTTGTACCCTACATG